GTTTTCCAGTAAAAGGGAGAGGGGAGGTTGTCTAGTCCTGATCCCTGGTTCAAATTTATTTTTTCCAACTTCTCTATGTACTGGGCCATCTTATCCAAAGGTGCAACCAAAAAAATATTGACATTAAAAAAAAGGAGCAATTAAATAGTCACATCAAAACATTTTATGGTTAGATAGCTGATAAACCAGTACTTGACTGGGGATATTTCCAGCTTTAAGTTTAAACAATTAGAGAAATACAACCTCAAATGTTGTTAAAAAGTTATAATTGCCGGGCAGCATGGCATCACACCATTACACTGGCCAGGAACATAGAACTGCAGATAATAATTCGCAACCACGTGATGATCGGTGCAAAGAAAACCTCTTGTTAGAGGGGCGTTACAAGCAACTATTCGACATTGTCATTCAGTCAATTGAGACCTTGGGCTATATTACCCACTGGGCCATATTTGCCTCCAGTACCTTACTTAGCCCCTTCAACTTATAATATGACAGTATTGAATTTTTGTGCTCTATAACTATATTTTAGGTTTTTTAGTTAAAAAAAAAAGACTAACCACCACAGCTTCATACTTACCTAATATTGTTACCTACTTTCGCCGAGAATTCTATACCTATGTTTCATTTTTCAGTTTAGCTATCATTTTGTGAATAATTTCACATATCGGGTCTTCAAAAAAAAAACCAATCGAAGATTGCTTTGATTACGAAAACGTACGTCGCATTATTGTTTCTTTATTGGTCAGGATTTTTGACATGTCATTTTGACATTGAAGTTTATTGACAAAATTAACGGAAAATATTGCTAAGACATACGTTTAAAAAACCATAGCAAACTTTGATTGTTTTTTTTTTGAAGACCCGATACCTAGATTATCAATAATATGTTACGACTGTTACATACTAGAATAACCTAAATATCTATTAAATGCCTCAAAAAAACCTAAAAACCTGAAATTAATGAATTAATTAAATTTTACTGAATTGTAGGTTTTTTCCCTGGTCTAGAAACCTAGCAGTCCATGGTGGAAAACAAGTTTAGGGGCTTACCTACCGTTTTCAAAATAATGAATTAACGATCTCTCTTTTTGGTCTTGTGTTTGCGTCGCTGTTCTTCAGATGTTAGGAATAGACAATATCTGAGATTATCACGTTATTGACCATTTGACCAATTGACCGACATACTATCCCATAAACAATAATTAACTCTGAACTTGACGCGAATTTCAACAAAGATGAACTCAATTCGACTGTCTCATCTGAGGCTATTCAGGAGGAAACTGATAATGACGTGATGGCAGACAAAGAACCAGAGGAGCTCAACTCTCTTAAAAATTATATGAACAGGATAGCTTTTAATGTTAACGATTACAATGCTTAGGTAACAGATATGAACAATGGAAGGTTTTTAAAAATACATTTGGAAAACAGAAAGTCAAAGATAGTAAGAAAGTTAACTCTATGTTGTTTTTTTGCTGAAAAAACAGACAGCTCGTCACAGCTCTGATATTCACACAAGTGAAAATAAACTTGAAAATGAAACTTTCATAATGTAGGAGTAATAAATGATGAAGGAGGAAGACTATATATTCGACCTGAATATTACTATGCAGCAAAGTTGTTTAAGAGAGGGAGGTTGTCTGATAACTTTTATGAGATCATCTGTATGCCTGAACATAATGCAAATCTCGAAATACTATGCAGTATAATATTATGTTATAATACTGCGTGGTACATTTCAAAAGTACTGCATACAGACAACAAAAAAAGCAAAGTGAATTTTCTAAAATTGAAGGTATGCCAGTTTGGATGGCCTGAAAAAGATGAAATTTATGATCTCATCCATTTGATTTAGATCATAAAAATTTAAATAATATGAAAGAAAAATATAACAGTTTGAAGAAATAGGGAATACCTATGTACTGCTATGACTTGCAATAGTTCACAATAATCCCAATGGTTTGCAATATCTAGAATCATTGGGCAATAGGTTGCAATAGTCCACAATACTCTCACAATACTCTGCAATTCCTGAGTATTGCACAATATATGTACAAAAAAACTTCAGTGAAATACCCCTCGGGTTTATGAAAGCTAGCACTGCTAGCAGCTCCGAGAGCAGCTCCCTATAATAAAAAATAAAGCCTGTAAAAACGGAAGGTCGATATTTGGCCTCGTTCTTATAAAAGAAATAATTGTTCTGGAAAAGTGAACAACCTTGAAATTTCCAAGAATGTTCGGTAGCGCCACGTTTTGCACCATTTACCCCACCCAGACTAACTGTCATGCGTCGCCACTGGGTCGTTTTCCATGATCCAAAGCCTTTCTGCGGCTCTAGGGCCGTTTTCCATGATTCAAAGCCTTCCTGCGGCTCCAGGGCCGTTCTTTATGACTCGAAAGTCTTTCTGCATTTCCTCGCTAAGTGCAGGTTTGTTTATCTTCTGATAAACTGTCAGGTATACAATCTTACGGATAAAAATGCATCCTGTAATCCCATTAGTCGGCTAGTTAGAAAATAGAATTATAGAATAGTAAAGTTATCTTGATGGTATAGTTACCAGCAAGTTTATCTGAAGATGAATAAAACGGGCCTTAAATCACATAAACTTTGTATTTTACTCGAGATTTTACTTAAGCTTCAAGTCCCCCCAATTGCATCTATGAGAGGGACTCTGAATTTTTTTTTTCATAAATTTACATTTTAGAAATATTCTTTCTGACTTTTGACTGTTTTTACAAGGTGATTTACGTAGGTGGATTAGATGCTATCTCTACTGCATCCACCTGCAAACTGGAAAACTTCTATGCTACGTAAATCAGGGTGCATACTGAAAGAGGAAGAAGAGCCTATTTCAATAAATAATAGTTTAACCCTCAATTATTATAGGGACTATTGTCACTGCTTTATTTTTACTTTTTCTTTGAATGGATTCTTATAAAAACTCAGAACCATTAACGAAACTGGAAAAATGATGACTACACAACTGACAACAACAAACTTGTCTGAAGCCTTATTTCTACGGGTCTATTCTACTGCCAGTCCTCAACATAATATGATAGAATAAGAAAGTTCTCATTACAAATAGCAGAATTTATTTGGTAAGATGATACCTAATGGTACTTTTCTTGCTAAGACTGCTTGGCACAATAATAATCTAATATATAAAATTCTCATGTCACAGTTTTAGTTACCTTCGTTCTCCGAAACGGCTTTACCGATTTTTATGAAATTTTATTTATGTATATTCGGTAGGTCTGAGGTCTGAGAACAGAGCTGGGATCGTTACTTGAAAAAAGTAACGCGTTACTTTACAATTACTTTTGCTTAAAAATAACTCGTTACTTAAAATTTACAGTTACTTTCGAATAATGATAACTTTATTTTCGTTACTTATTGGAAAGTAACGCGTTACTGTAACTTCTTCACTTTAAAAGTAGTTCGTTACTTTTAAAGTAACGCGTTACTTCAAAAATAACTATTTACGTCGAAAATTGCGGTATTCCTTAATTTGACTTATCAACACAGCAGTCCAAACAATCAAATAAGACCTATACGAAAAGCCAATATTTTTTTAGTTTGTGAGTCCGGCGATGTGGAAAAGTATTCTTGCAAAATTCAAACGGATTAAGGATTAAGCGACTGAATAGAGCACTTGGTTTTGGACAAACCTGCTCTTTGAAGCGTCCCCAGTGTCTGCATATAGTGTCTTTAGAGCAGAGGCGGCGCGTGGCACGCCCAAAAACGATTATTTTGAGCTTTCAAAACAAATTTTTGGACCCATAAATAGCTTTTAAAGAGAGGTTAACTCTCTAATGTAATTCTCCTCGTTTGTTTGTGATACCAAGTTCGATAGCTAAGAATTTCTAGTCATCTTGATCAGTCATTATTTATGTTTGTCCTCTATTTTCTTATACCTATAACTGATTTAATGTTTTACTGTTAATAATTTATATGTATTTTTATCCTGTTACTACGCCAAGTATTACTGGCCTATGTTTATTTAGTTGTAAGGTACTTAATGTTTCTTGTTGTTTTTTTTTCTTTTGAAACTTTTAATGGGTCTTGCCCGTAAATAAATAAATAAATAAATACATTTTCTGTACTACCAACATTTTATTTTTGACATACAAAGTTTCTGGATTACTTATTTTCCTTTTCTTCACTCGTCAATTATTTGTAAAGAAGATAAACAAATTGAGAGAACGAGTTAGTTTCATAGTAACTAGTAAGGCGTTACTTCCAGCGTTACTTCAGGAAAGTAACGTCGTTACAGTTACTTATCAATCAATCTGAAAAGTAACGAAGTTACCAAGTAACGCGTTACTTTCAATAACTCGTTAAAGTAAAGTAACTTTTTTTTGTCGTTACTCCCAGCTCTGTCTGAGAATAGGTTTTAAACTATTTATTATATCCCCAAGTATAAAAGTGGTCCACCCCCAAAAATGTTTTATTTTTTTTTTGTTTCTCACCACTACATAACCCAACTTATTTTTGTTAACAGTATTATCTTATAGCATTTTCGGCTTTACTGCTCCCAGAGCGCTCTCCATTTGGGCGGTGACGTCACAGATCTCTGCGGAAGTGTTCCGAGAGCGATTGTGATCCAAATGAGGGCACCATATTTGAAATCAATAGCCGAACGTACTTTAATTGTTTTGTTTTGATCAATCATTGATCTATCGCATTTGACGGAGTAAGGAACATTAATTTTCTTTAACCAAGGCCAAATTCACCATCGAAGGAAACTGAATTTAATTCAGCTACTAGATACGTTAACACAACATTTAATAGGTATTTAATAATTCAGAGGCGGTACGAAGTTCGCCGGTTCAGCTAGTAATATTATAATTTCAAAAATCTTAAGTATGTGAATGAATGGGTCAAGTAAATAGTTCTTCATAAATCGTTTTTGAGCTAAATATATTATTTGAAAAAAGGAATATAACTATTAAAATATCCACTTATGTCTAACCATACTTTGTTTGTTCAATTACAGATATTCAAAGAAGACCAATTACCCAAGAATATCTGTGATGGATGTTCAGACAAGTTAAACCTATTGTACGAGTTTTGGAATGTCTCCCTAGAATCAGAACGGACTTTATTGTCTTGGCTCAAGAATGATAATCTTACAATCAGCGCCTTGGCAGAGCCAATTGAAGAGACTATAGTCAAAGAAGAGGTTGAAGTTGAGGACGAATCTCCTTATTTGGATCTTGCTCAACACTCTTCTATGGATGAAGTACACTTGACACACTCTAAAACAAAATAAAAGATTAATTCAATTATTAGTTTCAGGAGGCTGAAGAAGAAGACGTTGAGGAGCCACCATCAAAACGGCCGCGTCGGCTTGCTGCCATGAAAGCTGGGATTAGTATTGCCACTGTATCTGACGACGATAATTATGAGGATGGACCTCAAACGGAGGATGTTGTAAAACTAGAATTTGAAAGTGATGAGAATGACAATAGTGAAGACATTGCAAAATTAGAAAATGAATCTGACAACGATATTTCATCATCAGTTCCTGAAAATAGTACCCACGAGTCCCACGACCAACCTGGACCATCAGGCCTTGGCAAGAGCGGAACTGAAACACCGTAAGTACCTACCAAATTGTTTTATTTCTTCATTCCCCTTCAACCCCTTCATTGCATTTTTAACTGATTTGCCTTCATACAGTTGTATTTCTCTTATTCTAAATATTCTTATTAATTTATTTAAATTAAATGCCTCAAGCTGTAGGTTTAAATTAAAACTAAACTTTGTGGGCTATAGGCTTTTTTTTTCATTATTGATTATTGGCTATTTCTAACCCTGACAAACCAGTTGATATTTTTAAATTACCTTTACCCAAGTTGGTATGGTAGAATTTTGACCCAGATACTTATTTGTTCCAAACAAATATTGTTTTTCTTCAAACGTCAGAAAACCTGACATTTATCTACTAATCTCATGATGTTAAAGTTTAACTTTTATGTCAGTTGACGGTCACTATGGACAACGGAAGTAAAAGACTTTTACCTCCGCTCGTGAGCGGAGGTAATAGCTATTTACCTAACAAGTGCGGAAAAATATTTTCCGCAAGTGTTAGGTACAATATTTTTCCTACAGGCGTAAAAATGTAAAATTTTTCTTTTTTTTGTTGACATATCAGTGTGGTAAAATTTTTTACCTACGAGCGTGCGGTAAAGTGCACTTTACCGCACGTATTTGGAAATGGAAAGTATCACTTTACCGCACACTATGCGGTAAAGTTAACTTTACAGCATAGTGTGCGGTAAAGTTAACTTTACAGCATAGTATGCGGTAAAGTGGACTACAAAGTGTGCGGTAAAGTGCACTTTACCGCATAGTGTGCGGTAAAGTAGAATTTGATATTTATAATCAAAATTCCTTTCTTTTTCAGAAAATGGATTTTTGATCATTTCTAAACTTAATCTTATTTCATTAATTAATCTGATTCATTAATTAATTTTATCAATGCCCTTTTTTAGAGATGTAGATGCTCATAGGTAAAATTTTGTACCTAACACATGCGGAAAGTGCCTTTACCGCCCTTAACGGCTTGACCGAACTCCGCTCCGCGTCGTTCGGTCAACTGCCGTTGCGTGCGGTATAGTATCACTTTCCGCATTTGTTAGGTAAATAACTATTCCGCACTGACAGCCGTGCGGAAAAACTTTTTCCGCACTGATGTGTCAAAAAAAAAGTTTTACCGCACCGTGCGGGAAAACTCATTTTCCGCACGCATATCAGTGCGGGAAATCGATTTTTCCGCACGGCTGTAGGAAATAGATATTTTCCTAACAAGTGCGCAAAGTGTTACTTTTCCGCACGCAAACACAGTTATACGAACGACGCGTAGCGGAGTTCGGATAAGTGTTTGCGTGCGGAAAAGACACTTTGCGCACGTGTTAGGAACAAAATTTTTCCTACGAGCTTCATATCAGGTAGGTAACAACAAAAATTTAAAAAAAAAAACGATAATTTGTTCAATTATTTTCAATTAACTTGAAGCGAACCTATTCATTCATCAAAAAATTACATAACAAAAAATTGAAATCCTCGTCAGAGCTGTTCATCTTAAAGTGTTTAAATTTGATGCGAAAGAAGTTTGTAGATTTTTGCATGTAAATGGAGAACACAAATCTGACAATGTGTCAAAGTTAATTATTATATTCAGTGTTTGTATAGATGTTGGCTGATATAGAAACAGAGGAAAAATTTGTCATCATGTGTCAAAGTCGACAGGTGCACTTATTGTTGCTTGACAATTATTTTTACTTTTCGGCACTCAGTGCAGATAAGGCCCGTATCCGCACTGAGTGCGGAAAAGTGTAACTTTGAGAACGGTAATGCGTGCGGAAAAGTACTACTTTGCGCACGCTCGTAGGAAATAGTTATTTTCCTAACTAGTGCGCAAAGTGATACTTTCTCGCACGAAAAAGCAGTTAGACGAACGACGCGAAGCGGAGTTCGGATAAGCTTTGCTTTGAGTGCGAGAAAGACACTTTGCGCAAGTGTTAGGAACAATACTTTTTCTACGGAGTGTCTTAGAAGTCGTGAATTGACTATAGAACATTGTTTTACATACAAGACTTTTAGAAAAAAGGGAAATCCGTTACATACAAATTCAAACTCAAATTTACAAATTCTTCACAGCATTCTTCAAAAAAATATAAACATTTAAAAAAATCTGACATGGCTTTAACCAAAAAGAACTAGTAAGTATTTTAATTTTTCCTATTACCGAAACAGACTTTTCCTATTCACAAAATGGGTAATTTAGTTTTTAAGGATTTTTAGTGGAGGTTTCAAGGTAAACCATACTAAAAACTTGAAGCAATATGGGATATCCACGAAGCGCTAAATTCAGCTAAAACCCCTTCTTTTTGAATTATTAGTTTATCCATAGAAACCATCAGAATATTGAAAATCTGGAATAAATACATTAATTATGCGTAGCAAACATGAGTGCGCAAAGAGTTTCCGTGCGCAAAGAGTTTCAGTGCGCAAAGTTCAACTTTGCGCACGCAAATGAGTGTGCAAAGTAATTACTTTGCGCACGCGATTAGAAAAAAGTCTTTTCCTACGAGCGTGCGCAAAGTAGTACTTTTCCGCACGCATTTCCGGGCTCAAAGTTACACTTTTCCGCACTCAGTGCGGATACAGGCCTTATCCGCACTGAGTGCCGAAAAGTAATTATAATTGTCAAGCAACAATAAGTGTACCTGTCGACTTTGACACATGATGACAAATTTTTTCTCTGTTTCTATATCAGCCAACATCTATACAAACACCAAATATAAATTAATTTGACACATTGTCAGATTTGTTCTCTATTTATATGCAAAAATCTACAAACTTTCTCATCAAATTTAAACGCTTTAAGATGAACAGCTTTGACGAGGATTTTCTGTTATTTTTTTGTTATGTAATTTTTTGATAAATGCATAGGTTCCATTCAAGTTAATTAAAAATAATTAAACAAATTATCGTTTTTTTTTAAAATTTTTGTTATTACCTACCTGATATGAAGCTCGTAGGAAAAATTTTGTTCCTAACACGTGCGCAAAGTGTCTTTTCCGCACGCAAACACGTATCCGAACTCCGCTTCGCGTCGTTCGTATAACTGTGTTTGCGTGCGGAAAAGTAACACTTTGCGCACTTGTTAGGAAAATAACTATTTCCTACAGCTGTAGGAAAAAGTTTTGCCATAACAACGCAAAGATTGACATTTTGTCACCTAGTTGTTGGTGGATTGTTCAGTAATATCATTATATTTTTTTTTCTATTATTCAGACACGTTTGAAGAAAAAATATCGTGTTCTATTCGGAGTAAAAGCCTGCTCGGCAAAAGCTACTTTTGTGACTCGTCTGTATTGCCGGCCTCACTGCGTTCGGCAGGCAAACTTACAGACTCGTCACAAAAGTATCACTTTTACTCCTAATAAAACAATATACTATTACACAAAAGCCTTATTTTAAAAAGACAGACTACATTTTTTGCGTGTTTCTGTTACTTTACTTTTGGTGGAATTTTGAAGGTGTACATCTATTTTTCTCCTAGCGTTTATGTGAATTTTCTTCTATTCTTTACATGAACTAAAGTTATATGGGTAAATGTTTTTTGACTATTATCTAAATCTGGAGCTTCGATTTTTTCCCATTGATTTGTATGTCCAGACAATCTGTAAGCAACAATTTTGCCTTAGTAATTAATTGTTTTTGTTACATAGAATATTTAAGTTGAAATTTAAAACTGAACAAGTTATTTTACATTGGAATTTTCCTAGAAATATTCGTCTGAGAACTTACTATTTTAAATATTTCATACATTTTTTTTTTGTTCTATTATTAATGTCACATCTCTGGGGTGCGTGGCAGAAATCTTGGGTCCGTTTATTCCAAAAATCAACACAGCAACAATTTATTCCACGTTACTATACACTCTGACACTAATTACTTCACTAATTAACTCAAACAACTTAACTCTTCACAATTCTTAACAATATTCACTATCTAGATCGTATAACAGCCAAACTTAAAACTACAAACTAATACCGGAAGAATACCGGCCTTTATATATCCGCAATCTCGTGTAGATTCCAGAATAAACGCGATAATGGGGAACTTGCACATTTTTTTTTTATTTCAAAAATGTGTTATACTACACTAAAGACAGTCATGCCAAATACCAAGCATTAAAAATCAGCCGGTAATTTTTTATAAATATTTGAAGTTACATGGCCATTTGAAACGACCGATTAGTGTGACGTCACTCGGCAACAAAATTCCGATGACAGTGACGAGCACTTCGAACATCGAGCAGGTAGATTAAGATTATGGTTATGTATGCAGTTTTTGATAGATTTGACATTGGCGACACCGGCAGCACATGACGTGGCAGCGGCGCGACCCGATTATTACTGCCTTGTGACGTCACGACCCCATAGAAACACGTTTTTGATCGCGTCATGAATTTCCAATTATTTGGTATTTTCAATTGAAGATTTTGGACACCAGAGATAAGATATTGTCACGGCTTTGGATTGCCTGCTGACAAAAATCTTGGGTTCGTTGTTCGTTTCGTTTATTCCAAAAATCAAAGTCCAATTAACACAGCAATAATTTATTCCTCTTAACAATACACTCTGACACTAATTACTTTAATATCTAACTCAACAATTAAACTCTACAACTCGCAATAATCACTATTTAAATCGTATCACATTCAAACTGAAACGGTGTTGCCAGAGTTTTTTGACGACATTTCTTCAACTTAGTGGCTAAAACCCTTCATATCCTCCAAACAGTGGTGGGGGCCCGCACAACGACGTATTTTACCAAAAAAAAAAAAACTATAACATGAACGAAATTCTTTTAATAAAAAAAAAAAAAAACAAAACAAACAAAATACTCATAGCTGGCCTAAGGCACACGTACATTTTGACGCAGTGGCATAGTGGAAATTAGCGTTTCGTATTTTTTTCTAATGCAACTTATTTATTTATTTTAATAAAAATTAAATTTGTCAGTGAAATGATTGGAATACATATTTGCTAAATATACAATTTGCCTCAAAATGCTTCAAATT